TATGTTGTGGATTAGGACTTCTAGTGTTGTTCCTAGCTTTTCTGTAATGAAGTTTATAGTCCTTGGTTTTAGTCCTAGGTCCATGATCCATCTTGAGTTGGTTTTTGTGTATGGAGTGAGGTGTGGGGAAACTTGTCTTAAAGGTTAATTTTTGGGGGAGCTCTGGTGGCCTAGTGGCAAGGAGCTGCAACTACAATCCCAGAGGCTCACGGTTCAAAGCCACCAGATGCTCTGCTGGGGAAGGAAGGACAATCTCCTCCTGTACCAGTCAGATCTGATTTGAGGGTACACTCACACAAATAAAATAAAAAATTTTTTTAAAAAATTTAATTTTCTAACTAACCCACTATCCTACTACCAAATATAGTTATACTTTCAATAAAAGGTTATTATTTACTTCTTAGATTTAAGATAGTTGAGCACTTTGCTCTGATCCCGACTGCAAAACTCATTTTGACTAGGCAGAGTGTGATAAAATGACAGCAGAAGGACCACTCACCTCATAATTCTCCTTTATCCAGAGCTCTCGCTTAAGGAAATTTTCCTTCTGATGATCTTCTAGACTGTCAAACTGGGACTCTGACATCTTCATAGACTTACGTATGATATACAGTCTCTCCTCCTCTCCATATTCTTTGCCTTTGATGTTAAAATTATAGATCCACCGGCAATACCAGACTATATATGAGCAGAGATGAAAAGGAGCCAAGATAATTTGAAACAGGAGAAGGTCACGTATTTGGGGTTTCTGATAGCCTCCCTTTATATCTATTTTACTCTTTATGATGTTCTTTATGATATTCTCCTCCTCATCACGAATTTCTTCTTTGGACTTTTTATTTCTGCCTTTTTCTTTGGCTTTCTTCAGCAGTCCCTGCTGCTTGGCGATTTCTGTAGCCTGGATACGATACTTGGGCACGGTGGCGAGATAGCTGATTGCCTTGTTGTAGCTATTCCACCAGCTGAAAAACTAGAATATTCGACAAGGAAAAATAAGCCCTTTTTTATTACCAAAATTCACTTACAAGAAAGCAATAGCAGAGATTCCTGGTGAACACCAGCATCTAAAAACTCAATCTGATGAAATGAAAGTAAGGCTCTCAAAGATGCAACATGTAATATATATTTTGATTATCCATTTATTTGGGGTGAATAGTTGATATTTAGATTATTTCCACTCAGTTGTATATTACATCCACACAACAAAGAGGAATGGCATTCTGACACACAATATGACATGGACTAATTTTGAAAATATCATATTGAATAAAAACAACTCTGATGCATAAAGAAAAAATATTGCTTGATACCATTGAGACAAAAGTTTATTTGTGTTTTCAAGAACTTAAATGATGAAATGGAGAATTGTTTAAGGAATACAGTTTCTGTTTAGGATGATCAGAAACATTTAGAAATGTATCATAGTGATGACTGCACAACAAGAATTAAACTAATGTCCATAGGATAAATTTTAATGAACTTAAAATTGTTAAATTGGCAAATGTTTTATATAGACATTTACAAATAAGAAATGAACAGAGCCTAGGAATATTCAAGAATGGAATCTCAAAGTATAGAAGATAAACTCTGAGCTAAAGCAAAATGCAAAAGATGCAGAAAAAAATAGTCAAGATTACAGGATGGACAAGTGGGACTATACTGTGCTTTCACACTGTTAACATTTGGCTCTTCCAAATATTTAGAATATTACTCTTTAGCCTTCAATAGTAATTCTTTTATCATATAAGTGGAACCTTATTTCTGAGAAGTAATTGTCAAACTAGCCAATGGCTTTCTTTCAGTCACTTCACTTATTCAAGAAATACAGGATACATACGGCTAATTTGAGAATAAAAGTAGAGAAAATACAACATGTTACTGAAGCTTTTTTATTCTATTTCAGTGATTCTTGACCTGAACAGAAACATCCATAGGGAAATGTATGGGACACTTTTAATGGTCTCTATAGTGGAAAGTACTACTAGCATTTAGTGGATAGGATGCTAAATAGACTGCAAGGCACAGGGCATTCTCACATATGGAAGACTATTCCTACTCTGAAAACAAAAGTTCTCCTACTGAGAAACACTCAAATTGTTCTTTCAACTTGAAATCTTAGATCCTATGCATCTAATCTAGTAGCCACTAACTACATATGGCCATTTAAATTTTAATTAAATAAAATTTAAAATTCCATGTCTTAGTTACAGAGTAATATTCACGAGGAGCTACATGTGGCTACCATACTGGACAGCGCATCTATAGACAAAGAATATATGTCAGCACTGAAAGTCCTATTGGACATTGCTGGTAGATTCTTGGAAGACAGCCTCTAGCTGTCTTAACCTTTTCAATTTGATTGTTATCACTGCCTCACAGGACACTTTGATTCATTGTGGCATCTTCTCTCGTGTGCTGCAGATTCAAAATTTCCGAAACCTGAAGAGCAGCAACTCTTTTCCTATAAACCTCACCGCCATCAAGTCAATTCAGACTGTGAAGCTGTAATCTTTATAGGAGAGGAAAGGGACTGCCTATCTTTTTTTCATGGAGCAACTGGTAGATTCTTACTGCTGACCGTTTGGGTAGCAACACAAAACAAAACTAACTCCTGGTGCCCCCAGAGTGCCAGCTGTTGTTAGGTGCATCAAGTCAACTATGACTTATAAAGACCCTATCAACAACAAATCAAAGCCTTGCCCTAACTATCCTGTGCCATCCTCATGATTTCTGCCATCCATGAGCCCACTGTTTTCATTGTTGTCAATTCATCTCATCCTCGTATTCACTGACACTCAACTTTTCACAGTAGCATGCAGCAATAAAACTCATTATTCCTTGGATTCAAGCTTCTACCCTCTTCCCACCTCCTCTATAAAACAACTGGATTTATTCATCTCATAATAGCTTTAGATTATATTTTCTCAATAGTTTTGAGTTAATTTAAAATATGACATTTCTTTCTCCCTCAATCCTTCAAGGTCTTGCTCATAGAAGATATACAATATTTGCTTTTTTAATGAAACAATTTTTTTCCACTTGTTGAGTTTTCCTACTAGCAGACTCTCACAAACAATAAATATAAAAGTAAAAGTATCCAGCATGGCAAAAAGTATATAAGAAAAGTATTCCAGGCAGAGAAACCTGTGTATGTAGTATAGGTAGGCTGTGGATAGGCAAACACCAGATGTTGTGTCAATAAAGAAAATATATTGTTCATTAAAATATTCTAAAAAAATTTAAAAAAAAAAAGAAAATATATTGTGACCAATGTGTTAAGAGTATAATGAGGATACGCCATCTTTATGAATAAGTTCAAGGGGACAGCCAAAGTGTTAAGTAGGAACCAGATCATAGCGGACTTGAGAGATCCTATTTAAAAATTCAGATTTAATACTAGATAAATCATGGAAAAATTCTACAAAGGCAAATTCTGTGATGCAGTCATTCACTTTGTCTATTAAGTGGAAAATACTCTAGAAGGGAAGTGAAAAGAACAGTTTGATTTTGTTTCTTGAAGCTATATAATGACCGTCATCATCAATTTCGCAGATTTCCTACCAACTAAGACTGTAATACTATTGATGAGTTAAATAAATAACTACTTTGGCAATGCAGGAAATTAACCCTAACAAAAATTTTACAAAAGTACTGCTAGTTCAATTTTAATGGCTAGTGCTCAGACACTCAGCTACATGCATCCAATACATACCTGAAACACTGAAATAGCACAAACGCTGACCAAAATCACAACTCTAACATCCACTTTCGGGGCAAGCCGCCTGCTGTAGTAGTGGTAGTAATGGCTGTAGTACTCTTCGGGATGGTCCAGCAGGTAATCATAGTCTTTCCGTGTGTCTTCATCCTGTAGGTAACACAATATCCAATTTCATAAGACAATTCATGAAATGGCCTTAAATTAGCCTCTTAAAATTTTATGATTATAAAGGATTAAATTGAGTGAAGTAACTGTTTTTAAAAAAACCAAGCACAACTCCAAACACACACATATATAAGTATGTTTCTCAGACTTTAATATTAAGTAGAAAGCATAATCAAAGTTCCTGAGTATTGCTAACTCTCCTTGAAAAAGAAAAATACGTTAAAAATCCTCAGTAACTATCATCCTTGCATTTTTTGCCTTATTGTGTACTATCGAGTTGGATCCTACTGAAACAAGAAGAGATTGCCCCTCCTTGTCCAGGAGAGCATCTGGTAAAATACAAACTACATGACTTTGGGATTGCAGTGTAGCTTCTTGCCACTAGGCCACCAGAGTTCTCTCATTGATGATTTATAAGTCAGTTTTATGCTGCTAAGGATGCTGCTATGTTCCTATAATTAAAGAGCATGCTGACATCTACTATCAATAACTACTGATGTAAAATATTTCTCTTTTATTTAGTGTATATACATATATACATTTTTTCATAATCATGTTTCAGTCTCTTGAAGTATTCTACTGAAAGTCATGATTATGACAGCAAAAAAGTAGATGAAACCACTGTGTGCCTACAAAACTTCAACACATCTTAAACACTGAGAAGGCAATGCAATGAAATGAAGAGTATTTGTCAAAGTCTACACACTCCAATAGCTTTGCAACCCTAAACAAAAACGTTTACCTCTCCTAAGTCTTACTCTTGTTCATTTAGGAAACAGAGATACTAATACATACTGGACTAATTTTATCAGACTACTTTGAAATTAAATATTATACATTATACATACAAAAACATAATAAAAAGATACAGCACTTTACTATTTATAACATAGTCATAGCCCTACTCAAAATGTGTTAACATATAGATCTTTTTTACTCACACTGACATATTGAAAGAACTGTAGCATTTAAAAATGCTACTCTGAATGTTCATAAACAACACCTTTTCTAACTCTAATCAGCTGCTAAAAGGGCTAAGTGTCATTCTTTATTGCACTATAATGGTGAAGAGCTATTACAAACCGGGTTATCATTTGCACTTTGTCCTATAGGAAACTTACACTTCAACATTTCTGTTGTGGAAAATGTTAAGAACAAAACATTTAAAAAAAAAAAATAAAACCAACAACCAACTCTATAAGGGAGCTCTCATAGCCTTGTGTTAAGAAGCTGTGCTGCAATCCCAAAGATACATGGTTCAGATTTACCAGCTGCTTCTCAGAAGGAGGAACAATCTCCTCCTGTGCAATTCATTGCCTCTGAAAACCCTTGGAGGATCAGCTATGGGTCAGTTCTGACTTGATGGCACATACCAACAACGTAAGTATTTATTAATATAATTAAGTGCAAATAAATAACTGAAAGTGGTTTTTAACTTATTTTAACTTACGGATTTTAGCCTTTCTTTCTAGGATGAATTACTCAACACTCATCAAATTGCTGATGATAGCTAAACGAAATTCAAATCTTTACCTAAAAAAAAAAAAATCTTTACCTAGTATCTGGCCTTGCTATTGCAGTCAGAGTCTCACAAGTCTCCTAAGGGCTTCCTTCTATAACTTTCTATTTTTAATTTCTTAGATTTAAAATAAGAAATGTGTTAATGCCAGAATCTCTGGTAAAATCATCACATTTTTCTATTACAAATTTTTACTTTAGCAGACAGCATTCTCAGTAATAGTTCCATTATTACAATTATTCTTTAACCAGTATCGTATCTAGTTTAATGAAACATGAACACAGTTAATGTCTAGTCCATGGCACTATCTGCCAGGGGTCTATTTTATATGAAAATTGTCTGTTGGAGAAGGGTTGAGCTGAGCTGAAATTTTTTCTAGACTCACTCTTTTTTCTGTTCTATCAGAAAAGATGTTCTGATGACAACTGCTAGAAGCCTGTCAGCCCTACTCCTCCTTTACCCCAGCATCAAGTTCAGAGCCTTTACAAAGGTCACAAAGAAAAGTTAAGTCTCTTGATGTACCTTATTTTTTCCATTCCCCTCCTCATTCTTTTCTTTTCTTTTTTGGACTGATTATATAAAAGTATACTGCATTATACCTAAAAATACTTGTTTAATTAAGACTCTCAATGTTAGCAGATGCTTTTTAAAAATGTCATAAATCTTCTAGTGCCGACTAGGTTACAAACAGTTTTGAAATGAAATGCATCTTAGCCTCTTTGTTTTCTTCTTTGCTGAAGCATCCTTGAGTGCTATGTTAGTGATCCTCTCGTTTTTGTTCTTATCTTAATGAAGGTCACATTCTATAGTGTATCTGTAGATATCCCTCTTCAAGCATCTCACCCCTATCTTCTTATAGTCATTATCTTCTCATTGGTTTCTTGGGACTTTACTAGGTCCTAAGCACCCCTAGATTTTGGGTCAAATCATGTTCTAGTGCCAGCAACTCCAAAATCTATACCTTCTGTTTGGCTTCTCTGCTGTAAGCATAACCTTTAGGATCTATTCTTAAGTCCTTGAAGGTCGGATCTGACCTGAGTCCTCTAACTATGCAATTATCACAAAAGGTTTCAAGGCCATATCTGACTTCTATTCAGACAAACTACTAGGTCCTAAGCACCTCTAGATTTTGGGTCAAATCATATTCTAGCACCAGCAACTCCAAAATCTATACCTTCTGTTTGGCTTCTCTGCTGTAAGCATAACCTTTAGGATCTATTCTTAAGTCCTTGAGTATAGGATCCGACCTGAGCCCTCAAACTATGCAATTATCAAAAAGGTTTCAAGGCCATATCTGACTTCTATCAGACAAACATCTTTTCTTTGGGGTCAACTATAAATTTTAAGACTGTGTTTTGATCATGATAAGAGTTTGGAGGTAAACCATGTCCTAGCAGCATTTATTCAACCAAAACCGTCACTCCAGGGTTTAAAGCTTTCTCTCCACAATGAAGAAAATGATCTTTAGGTAGAGGTATGGATGATGCCCTTTACAAAGTGTTCGAGGTGGTACAAATGGTCAGAGTTGGGAAGTCTCAACAGTCTAAGTCAAATCCTATTCTTGAGTAACCTCTCTAGCTTGGAATCAAATAGTAAGAATAAGAATATGAGGAATACTAGTGCAGAAAAAAAGACAGCATTACAGGGACCAGATTTCTTGCTGGGATCCAATGAGTGCTACAGGTACATTCTTACTTTAATGCCATGTTTCTTTTTCTACTGCATATCCTGGAACTAAGTCCTATCATAGATCCTCCCCCTACTCCCCCCAAAGCCTACCTATGGCCAATAAAGTAAGTTATCATTTCCCTGGAATGCAACAAAGACTCCACAACTGGCCCAAATGCACCTACTTCACATCTCTTATCACTGGGAGATGTGTCCTCTTTTGACCAAACCAAATATTCAGATAGCAATTTTCAAAATTTGGTGTTCTTCCACTGCAGGGTGCTCTTTCTTTCTGAGTGTCTGTCCCTCCCTCCCTTCCCTTCCAACCTCAAGAGCTCCTATCAATCCGGTAGGACTCAAACATTATCGCCTCGGAAAGAACAGACCACTTATTCCAGCTCTAGTGACATTCAGTACCTATTTATTATAGCACTTATCACATTGTAATTATAAAGTTGTTTGGGTTTTTTTTTCTATTCTTTGAATAAGAACGTCTAGAAGATAAGCTAAGTCGTTAATCTCTGTATATCCAAGGCCTAGCACAGTGCCTGGCATTCATGAAATATCATCTCAAAAATTAATGAAATTTTGTAATGCTCTCCTTTTCTAAAAACATCTGTCTCTGCAGCCACATAGGTCTTCATCGCACCAGCAAGGCTAGATGAGTGGTTATGTCACTAAAACGTCAGCTTTGCAGAAAGGACTGGTTTTACAGCCTTTAAAAAGTAAGCTAATGTGGCTAAAGTAACTTAAACCTTAAAACAGTTTAATATCTTACCTTTCAATAAGGTAGTATTTTTTTTCTTTCAGCAATTGTGTGGATCATAAGGTCCCAGGGTCAGAAGATTCCAACTTCTTTTCAAACCAAAACCTTTAAACTTGTTTCTTCCTGCTCTCTGTCCTGAGCCTCGACAAGCAGGGCAATAAGCTCCTTGTTTCTAATCTCTACAGGAATAAATGGTGCTTCTGCTGGTGTCCACTCCATTCCCAATCCTCTTGGGCATATGCAGGAGGACTGCAACATAACCACCAGTATCTAGATCAAAAGTGAACAAGAGGAAACCCACAAGCAAAGAATATACTGAATCCTTCCTTCTCTCAAGCAAATTATCATCCCACCTTCCCAGAGGCAAAAATATATTAGCTTCTTGTTCTTGAAAGAGATAATTGCTTGCTTGATCTCAATAAACATAAATTGCAATAATAAGATATTGCAACCAGTTTTACATGAAAATGTTTCTATTACACAGAATGAAGAAACTATTTTAAGGATGTTAAGTATCATGAATCAATAATATATGAAACCTAAAACTATTTTCCTCATTTTTAATAAGAGAGAGAGTGTGTGTGTGTGTATCCTATTTTTATAAGACATACACAAATGAGCCTTTAGAAAAATAAATTTTATCCCCCTAAATTTTTTCCAGGTCATTACATCCTATCAAAAAAGAGAAGGAAACAAACTGTTAGCAGTTTCTTTTCTTGTTCTGTGACTTCTGTATCAAAAAAGAGAAGGAAACAAACTGTTAGCAGTTTCTTTTCTTGTTCTGTGACTTCTGAGTCACTAGTGCATCTATCGTCTCATCTTAATGTGGTCTCAGTAACCTCCATGACTTGAAATATTACCTAGAATAACTGTAACTCCATCTGTTCTTCCTGCCATCTCCTATTTCCTAAACACATTTTTAATGTAATAAATACTTCAAATTCAGCAAGCTCAAAAATCAAACCTTTTCCTCTAGATTTCATATAAGCTAGCATCATCATCATAGTGAAGTTTTTTTAAAAAAAAGAA